GGTGAGATGGCTCAGTGGTCTAAAGCACCTACTTAGAACAAGCTTAGCAAAGCACAGAGACCGCGGTTCAATCCCCCAGCACCACATGCCAGCCAGCCCCGCCCCCTGGTGGGCTGAGGTGGCCACACACACACACACAATAAATAAATAAATAAATAAATAAATAAATAAATAAATAAATGGAAAAAAAATAAAAAAAAAAAAAGACAAGGAAAAAAAGCACAAACCACTTAGATGGAGTGCTGGCCTGGGCCTGCAATTCCACCTGCTTGGGAGGCTGAGGCAGGAGGGTCACAGGTTGAAGCTCAGCATGGACAATTTTGTGAGACCCAGTCTCAAAATAAAGAATAATAAGGGCTAGGAATCTAGCTTAGGGGTAGCACACTTGCCAGCATGTGCTGCCTAAGTAAAAATTAGCGTCTGGGGTATAGCTCTGCATCACGACACCTGCGCCTGGCTCCCAGTGAATGCTGTGAAAGAGTTTGCTATTCAGATGGGCCAGAAGTCAACTCTGCTCTGCCGAGGGCTGTGTGACCTCAGGCGAGTATATAAGCCTCTCTGATCCATTTCCTCCTGTGTTAAACAGCTCATAATGCTCTTTCCTGAATGAAAGCAAGATAGTGACACCTGCTGCAAGTTCCCAGGTATAAGAATCAAGTCATCACTGTCCCTTAGGCCCTGGTACAGGGCCCAGCCAGGGAAGGCCGTGGGTTGCTAGGATTAATCCCTTACACACTAGCACACTACCCTCCTCCCTCCAGGGAACTTCCTTCTGTCGCTGGCTGACACCGCCATCTAGTGGACGAGTATGAAACTGCAGTCTGGCCCAGGCCCTCGCCAAGCGGCTGCGCAGTCCTTTAAAAGCTTGCTCCTTGGAGAGGACTGAACTCCAGGCCTCGCAGGCGCTAGGCAAGTGCTCTACCAGCGAGCCACATCCCCAGCTCTCTTTCCTTTATTAAGACAGGGTCTTGGGACTCAGGGGCCGGGGTTCGATTGAGATTAGACCTGGTGGCACACGCCTGTAATCCCAGCGTTTAGGGAGCTGCAAACAAGAGGATCACTATGAGTCCGAGCTGGGCAGTGAGACGCTATAAACCCTGTACTAAAATAAATTTTAAAAACAAACAAACAAACAAACAAACAAAAAAGAATAAATAAATAAAATATAAAAATAGAAACAAAAATAAAAGTAAGGGCCAGCCAAATAGCTCAGTGGATTAAAGCAAACAGGCACAGGGGCCAGGGGTTCAATCCCCGAGCCTGCTGTGCTGGCCCCACCCCCAGGGCACGCTGAGACAGAGATTGAGACTGGGTATGGTGGTGCGCGCCTGTAATCCCAGTTCTTGGGAGGCTGTAAACAGGTGGATCACTACGAGTCCACTCTAGTAGTGAGACCCTGAACACCCTGTAGACCCTTCCCTAAAATACAACAACAACAACAATAATAATAATAATAAACAGGGTCTTGGGCCAGCAAGATAGCTCAGCGGACTAAGTACCTGCTTAGGCAAGCGAAGCACCTAGGTTCCAGCCACCGCATCGTGACGCACCAGCCCCATCCCCACCCCCAAGCTTGCTGCACGCCTGTAATCCCAGTGTTTGGGAGGCTGTAAACAGGAGGATCACTAGGAGTCCGAGCTGGGAAGTGAGACGCTGTACCAAATACCTAAAAAAAAAAAAAAAAAAAAAAAAGACAAGGTCTTGCTATGTAATTCTTTTTTTTTTAGTCTTTTTTTGGGGGGACAGGGTCTCATTATGCTGTTCAGGTTGACTTCAACTTCCTTTGTAGCCCAAGCTGGCCTTGAACTTACGGTGATCCTCCTGCCTCTGCCTCCAGAGTGCTGGGATTACAGGCATGCACCACCATGCCCAGCATTGCTATGTAATTCTAACTGACCTTGAATTTACTATGCAGCCCAGGCTGGCCTCAGACTCACAGCGATCCTCCTGCCTCAGCCTCCCTGGTGCTGGGATGACAGGTTGTGCCACCATGCCAGGGTCCTGGTCCTAGCTTTTTTTTTTTTTTACTGAGAATCAAACTCATGATCTTGCCCTTGCCAGGCAGGCTATGTGTCACTGAGCTATATCCCAAGCCCTCCCAGCCCTTTTTAAAATTTCATTTTGAGGCAGTTGTGGTGGTGAATGCCTCTCATCCCAGCACTCAGGAGCCCGAGGCAAGTGGATCCGAGTTTGAGGATAGCAGAGGATACATAGTGAGACCCTGTCTCCAAAAAAAATTTTTTTTTTTTTCGGTATCCAGGGATTGAACTCAGGACCTTGTACTTGCCAGGCAGGCACTTACACCGCTGAGGTATATCCCCAGCCCCCCCCCCCCATCAGTCTTTAAAAATATGTATTAGGGGTCACTGAGCCAGGACCCAGAAAAACAAAAGCACAGGATAGGCAATGACATAGAGGAAAACAAAGGCAGGGTTAATTTTTTTGCTTTGCTTTGTTTGAGACAGGGTCTTGTTATGCAGTTCAGGCTGACCTTGAGCTAACTATGTGGCCCAGGCTGGTCTCAAACTCAAAAGGATACTTCTGCCTCAGCCTCCTAAGTACTGGGATTATAGGCTGTACTATGCCTTAGCTGAACCGGGGATTGAATTTAGGCCCTTGCGCTTGCCAGGGAAGCACTTATTCTACTGAGCCATCTCCCCGCCTCCCCCCCCACCTAGCTTTTTAATCTTAGATTATTTAAGGAAAGTGTGAACAGGATGTAGGGGGACTGGCACCCTGGACAGTGGCTTCTGGGGCTATTTTCACAAGTTCTGCAGAGGTTCTGAAGTGGTGTTAGTGCCAGGAAGAGAAAGCGGGATGAGCAGGCTGCCCCAGGAGTCTCCTGGCCCAGGGCCCCCTGGGAGTCCTCCAAGGCCCCTGCTAAAAGTGGTGTGGGTCACATCCACCTAGAGAGTCAGAGGAGACTCCACAGAATAAGTGGCACTTCAAACAGCCGTGGAGCACGGAGGCAGAGAGGGCTGGGTGGCCGGGACATACTGCACTGTGCATTAGACCATGATGCCCGCAAAGTCAGGTCCAGCAGTTGGACATGGTACACTGGGGACCCACTGTGTAAGCCAGAACCTGATCAGGGGCCAAGTGGAGCGAGCCCCCAGGAGCAGGCTGGTGGCCATGTCGGCCCGGGCTGGGTAGGGCAGTGGGCCAGCCTGGGTGAGGATGGACAGGGGGGCAGGACGAAGCAAAGCTTCCGGAGAGGATGGCTGCTGCTCAAGCCAGGGGACCCTGCTGGGAATTAGGGCGCTGAGTCTTGGGAAGGTGATGGGGAGGAGGCCAGGGCTGTCCCTGGGATGGGCCCCAGGAGCTTGGTCCACAACAGGGAGGGTGTGAGTCATGGGAGGAGGCAGTTCAGGAAGGGCCAGAGGGCAGGAAGGAGGAGGAACAAGCCAAAGGCAGGGGCTTCCTCATTTGACTGATTCACAAAGGGTCTTGCTATATACCCCACGCTGGTCTCCAACTCTCAGAGATCCCCCTCCAGGGCTGGGATGACAAGCATATGCCACCTCATCCTGCTTGCCTCCCTCACTATACAAAGCCTCCTGAGGACTAAAGAGATAATCAGGGCCCTTTGGTGACAGAGAACCAGGGAACCTTGTGAACGTCCAGTGGTCATGGACCTGGAGAAGCCAGGGCAGGAGCAGGACCAGGGCCAAGGCCACTGAGCCATGAGTAGGGCTGTCAAGGTGACCCTGGCAAGAGCAGCTTCAGGACCAGAAGTCAGGCTAAGGGACAGGAGGCTGAGGACACCAAGGCCTTCAGGCTGCCCGGAGGCAGTGGTCGGCTGGGTGCACAGGGAACTGACCAGGCCTGCAAGTGTCTTTGGGCCACGGAGAGCCTGAGGGGGAGGGGTGAGAGCAGAGGCCCTGGAAGGACCCTAGGGAAAGGCAAGGAGGTGATGGGAGGGACTCAGTGCCCTGGAGGGGAGGAAAGCCAGCAGGGAGCAGCTGTGGGTTCTGGGGGCCCTGTGGCCCAGCTCCGGCTCCAGACTGGAACAACGCTGTCCCCTCCCCCAGCCGCTCCCCCAGAGGGTCCCACAGGTCTCTCCTTTGGGAACTGTCGGGGGAGAGTTCTCACCTTGCCACAAGGCCAGGGGCTGGATCCCCAGCAACACGAATGAAACAAAAAGAAACAAAGAAACCAGTCCAGTTTTTGCCCTGAGGGCCAGGTGGGGCTCAGGGTCAAAGTTTCAGAAAGTTCCCATAGTGGCATGCGGGGGCGCCACACTGGCTGCCTATGATCACAGCGCTTGGGAGGCTGAGGCAGGACGACTGCTGTGAGTTAGCGGCCCTTGTGAGTTCAAGGCCAGCCTGGACTACACGAGGAGACCTGTCTCAACCTAACCCTAACTGACCCTCAAAAAAAAAAAAAAAAAAAAATGCTGGTGTGATTGATTACAGCCCCAGGACAGCAGCTCAGCTCCAGAGCTGGAAGACCAGGAAGTGCCCTGGATGGCCCAGCCCTGACCAGCTCCGAAGAAACCAGTCCCCAAGGAGGGGGCTCTAGGTCTGACCAAAAGGTGTAGCTTTCAACTCACCGCAGCCCCTCCAGGTTGCAGGTTAACCCTTTCCCTGGCTGGGGAGCCTTGCACCCGACTTCCCCAGGGCTTGGGAGACCAAAGCCAACCTGGATTCCACTGACAACATTGTTTTAAAAAACAGGTCTGCCTTTCTCAGTTTCTCCCCAGAGTCGGGACCCCTCTTCTGAGCAGATTTTCTTCCTGTGCCCTGCCTGGACTCTGCCTCTCCCCGCTTTCTCAGCTCTTGGGGGGGAAAATAAGTGGGGAAGCCTAAGGCTTAGCAGAATGGGCGCCTCACCCACCCCAGCAGCCCCTCCCCTCCGCACAGCTGGAGGGGGAGGGGAGGTCAGCAGGGTTCATAAAGGCCAGATGTTAAGAGAGCAGTGTCCCCCATCCCCGCCCCTCCCCCTGGGTCAAGAAAAAACAGAAAGCAGTTTCAAAAACAAACACAACTTTTTGTGGTGCAAAACAGTTTTTCAAGAATCTGCTCTATGCAAACAATAACATTTTTATAAAGCATTTTCACAGAAAAGGAGACAAGCCCTTCCCCAGGGTCAGACGCGGGAACTGACCCTCCCTGGTCCCCTCTCAGGGGAAGCGGGAGTGACTCACTAGTGCAGTGCAGAGCAAAAGGCCGCAGGTCCCTCCAAGGTGGGCACCTGGCCACCCCACCCCAGCTGAGGTGCGCACCTAGGCAGTCATCACCATCACACCAGGCGTGGCCCAGCCAAGCTGGCCTGGCCTGAAAAAGGGACCTCTGACCCCGAGCCTAATCCCCAGGCCCCGCCGCCTCTCGGATCGATCAGGCCCTGACAACCCAAGCGCTCACCGAGGGTGTCGGCCTGGTCTCGCCCACACCGAACCCTGCCGCTTCAAACTCCACGTGAGCCCTTTTTGTGACCCCTCTGCAAAGGACAGGCTGGTTTGTCACAACTCATAAGGGGATCAAATCTGGGTGACCAGAGAAAGGACTCAGGCCTGCCCTCAACTCTATCCCCTCCTTAATCGGGCCAGAGGACCTCGAGAGGCGACTCGTTTGGTCTGATTTTATTGATTTCTTCCACCTTCCATTACTTTGCCTGGGACAGTCTTCTGCCCTGTCCCCAGGCAAAGTCTACAGAAGAGGAGACCACGGGGTCCCCAGGTCCTGTCCCTCTTTTAACTGTGAACTGCGGGAGGGGTGGCTGCCAAGGTGAGGGTTTCTCTTCAATCCATCAGACCTATGAACTGAAAGCAAATGAAAAACTGGGGGGCAAAGACTCCAAACTGGGCAAAAAAGGAAGACCAGTGGCTGAGACTGAAGCTCTCACCAATCGTTAAGTCGCCTGAACTCAGAGGGGCCAAGGGGGGAGCAAGAGGGGGTGACCTGGCCCCTTCCCCAGAAGGGCTCAGGGGTGCAGGCTCTAAGGCTTGCGGGCAGCCAAGGGTTAAAGGTTGAGCGGTGGGGGTGGGGCCCCCCAGGGTGCTGCCAATCACCATCCCGGCCCCTCTGTAGCCCCCAAAGCCCAGGCTCGCCCCGGGACGCAGAAACAAGCGGTTTGTCCGTCACCAAGGTCTCTCTAGTTCCTTCTGGGGTGTGGGAACAGTGGCCTTCTTAACTATACCCCATAGCACCAGGGTGGGGCAGGAATTCGTGTCACTCGGCTGTCCCCGACTGCAGCCCTCGGCTCCCCTGCCGAAATGAGCAGAACAGAGATCACTTGGGTCTGGGCTGTTCTGAGCTCGGTCACTCGAGTCCCCAAGCCCGCGGAGCAGAAAGCGTCGAGAACAAGCAGAAGCGAGAAGCCAGGCTCTGTCCTCGAGCCCGGAAACCCCAGCTGTCCTCTGCAGCAGCAGCGGTGTCCCACGTTTAGAGTTCTTCCAGGTTGACCCCCCAAAACTTGCAACCGGGGGGCTCGGGGACCGCAGGGCCCCCTACCTGCCACCGCCACACGGGGTGGGCGGGCGGCGGCCGGGCGTCGCCTTGCAGGCGCAGCGAGGCGGCCGGCCGCAGGTCTCCATCGTCACCCACCACCAGGGCAGGCGTACAGGGGAAGCAGCTGAGCAGGCTGAAGGAGCCGGCTTCGGGCAGCACGGGCGCGGGCCGGCGTGGCGGCGCGCGGGCCGGGGGCGGCGGACGCGGGGCGGACGCTTGCCGGCGGCGCTTCTTGGTGGCGCCCTTGCCCGGGGTCTTTGTGGGTGGCCGCTCGGGACCGCGGCGCAGGCTCGGCGTGTCCAAAGCGAAGCCCTTCGCGTAGCACCAGAGTTTGGAGCGGCGGATCAGACGGTCGAAGTGTTCCTGGCGGAGGTCGACCGGCGCGGCCAGCGAGGGGTCTGCGGATGGTGCCTCGGGGTCTGTGGCGGGTGCCTCGGGCGGGGGGCGTCCGTCTTGCTCCGGCGACGACGGCGCGAGACCTGCAGGTGGCGGTGGGCTGCCGGCGGGACAAGGCTGGAACTGGAGGCCCGGAGCCGGCGCGGGCGGTGCCTCTTGGGGACACAGAAGCTCGGGGCAGCGGCCCGGAGGTGCGCGGGGTCCTCCGTCATCTTCCTCCTGCGCGTCGCCGGGGCGCGGGGCTGAGCCCGCATCTTCGTGGGCAGCAGGGCTCGGGGCGCGGGGCCGCGCGGGCTGCCTCAGGCCGTCCGGGAACGGGGAGGTGCAGGGACCCAGGCCCCTGGAGGGTGCGCGCGGCTTGGCGAGGGCGCAGAAGGCCAGGGCGCGCAGGCACAGTGGCGAGGAGAACTGAGTCCCCCGGCGAGGTTTCCGGGGCGAGGGGGCGCATGGCGACCCCCGCGGGGACGACGGCACCGCCAGGCGCGGAGTGGGGCACAGAGTCTCCATAGTGGTGCCCAGAGCGGAGGCCCGGGGCCCAGCTGCGCGTTGCCCCGGCTGCACGCAGAGCCCTCAGGAGAGGGGAACATCGCCCCCCTCGACGGGGAGGCCTCGGCTTGCGGGCGCCCCCGGCCCCCGTCCCCTCCCGGACCTCGTCACGCGGCACCGGCCGGACTCCTGGGTCCCCTCGCTGCCAGCGCGCTTCCTGCCGCCGCCTTCCCTGCGCGCCGCGGTCCGGCGCCCCCTCTGGAACGGCCCGGAGCGCCCGGGGCGGGGCCAACAAAGCGGCCGGCGACCGCGGGAGGCGGGAAGGACCTCGGCCCGGCACCCGGTGCCGGGGCCCAGGCGGCGGGGAGGGCGCCTTCCGCCCGCTCGCCTCCTTTCTTCCCCGCTGGCTCCCGAGACCGCGTTATAGAGAACTGCCCCCTCGCTGCCCCAATACCAGCGCCGCCGCCGTGAGCCCGCCGCTGATTGGGCGGTGCGCGCGTGACGTCCAAGGCCCCGCCCCGGCCCCGCCCCCGGCCCCATTCGGCACACAGACACACACACGTGGACCCGGTGCGGCGGCGGTGCGGGGGAGGCGAGGGGCGGGTGCGGGAGGCACCGCAGCGGCCCGAGGCGCCGCCGCACGTGGCCGGATGGCCTCTCAGCATCTGCTGGTGGCCGAACAGCTGGTGTTTCTCCGCAGCGCCCGTAGCTGCCGCATCTGTAAAATGGGAACGTTCCTCATCTGTCTCCAGGCGCTCGGAGACGCGTGAGTCAGCACAGCGAGGCTCGCACCACGTGCGCCGGGAGGAGGAAGAGAGCCCAGCCCCGCGTGGTGGCGCCTGTCACCCGGAGCTTCCGAGGCTGAGGCCGGAGGACCGCAGGTCCAAGCCCAGCCTGGGCAATTTAGCAGCTTAGCGAGTCACCCGTCGCAAAATAAAAAATGAGGGGGCGTCGGGTGTAGTGCAGTGTGAAGATCCTGGGCTTACCAGAGTCCCAACAACTCTCGAGCCCCCGGGACAGCCATGGCATGGCTGTGCCCTGCGAGCCCTGAGCTTCCCAAAGGGGTTGAGAAAGCCAGAGGAAGGGACACACGTGGGCCCTGACACTGAACTCCCAGAGAGAAAAGCAAAGAAGAGAATTCCCACCACAATGCCACTCTGCTGTCAGCTCCTTGGCCTTTAGTTCCTCTGTGGCTTATTGGGTTTTTTGTTGTTGTTGTTTTAGACAGGATCTCGCTATGCAGTTCAGGCTGACCTTGAACTCACTGTGGTAGCCCAGGCTGGCCTCAAACTGGAAGTCATCCTGTTGTCTCAGCCTCCTGAGTGCCGGGATTGCAGACCCGCGCCATCCCGTCCCGCCTTGCGTGACTTGCTGTTCTGTGAGTCGGTGTCATTCCTAGCATTATGCGACAGACTGTCTTTTCTAGTGTTGGTCTCTCCCATTAGCGCAGACTTAGCAAGCGATATTTGTGAATGAAGAAATGGGTGACAGAGGCTGGGCGTGGTGGCCCATGCTGTAATCCCAACCCTTGGGAGGCTGAGGCCTGAGAATCATGGAGTTTGAGGCAAGACTGGACTACATAGTGAGACTCTGTCTCAAAAAGAAAAGAAATAAGTGACAGTGAGTGATGAAGGTGTCCCTGGGATTTGTCTTACTCCATAAAGATGAGGTTGTAGCAGGGCACAATGGTGGAAGCCATGATTCCAGCAGCTGGGAAGGCTGAGGCAGAAGGATCCCAAGGACAAGCCCAACCTCAGCAATTTAGGGAGATTTTGTGTCCAAAAATAAAAAGAGAGGCAGGTAGTTCAATGGAAAGCCCTGGGTTCAATCCAAATTTACATAAAGAAATAAATAAATCAGGCTGCTGGAATCTGACTTCTCAACTGCAGCAGAGAAAGACATTCAGGGACAGAGAGAAATACGCTGCTCTGGGGCCAGGGCACAAGAGGGCTTCCAGCTGGGTTTTAAAAGGAACAGACTAATCCATGACAGAACACAGATCAATTTCACAAATGTTAAAGCTCTTGTGAAAGAAGTCAGACAGGTCTGGATGCAGCTTCAGGGGCAGGGACAGTGCTGCTGCAGCGGTGCCAGGTGTCTGTTGCTTGTGTAGCAGGTGACGAGGACCTATCTGCACCATCTGCGCTCAGCCTTGGTGCACCAAGACCTGGAATGGGGGCTGCAAAGAATCTTTTTTCTTCGTGTGTGTGTACATAATGTGCATGAGTTGGTTTTTTCATACCGGGTCTTGCTATGCAGCTCAGGCTGGCCTTGAACGCTCAGCAATCCTCCTGCCTCGGCCTCCCCAGGGCTACGGTGACAGGTGAGCGAAGTCCTGACTGTATTTGCATCCCTCACACCTAGTCCACGTTGACACAAGGAGAGAACGCTAAGAAGCTGCTCCAGGAACAAATGGGAGATTACACAACACCCAGACCCAGGGCCTCCGCCTCTGCAGCCTGAAGTGCGAGTCTAGGGACCGCAGGGCAGGTCGGTGCTGCAGGCAGTGCTCCCCTGAGCCTGCGCTCCTCTTCACGACCAGCATCAGGGGTGGAGGATACAGCTCTCAGCCCTGGTGACTGGGGGCATCGAGGCGCCTTTTACAGAGAGCCACGGGACAGTCGTACAGGTTTCCTAGACACGGGGAGTCTCAGTATCCCCCTCAGCAAGGAAGAACAGCTGTGGCTTCCCTGTGACAGCGTCAGGAGGGTGAAACAGGCGCTGTCACCCTTCCCTAGGTGGACTAGCCGCCGCTGCGATTCCCGCCGCCTGCGGTAGGGGGCGCACGACCCTTCCTCAGCCCAAACTGAGCGCCGCCTCCTTAACCATGAGGAAGGCAGGGACAGTGGGCTTGGTCCCCTCCGCCGCCTCTAAAATAAGGGACAGGAAAAGGCCTGGGACCTGGAGCCCGCGGTCCAGGCAAGAAGCGGCTGTTTTGCTTCTTCCTGAAGGACTCTGGCTAGAGAACTACGGACATCTAATCTCTTCACCAGCCTATGAGCGATTGTGTGTGTGTGTGTGTGTGTGTGCCCGCACATGCACAACTCTGGGGGTCGAACCCAGGGCCTTTGCACAGAGCTACATACTCAGATTTTTAAAATTTTTATTCTTGCTGAATGCTAATGAATTGCTTAGGGTGGGTTCGAATTTGAGATCCTCCTGCTTCAGCCTCCTATAATACTGGGATGTATTGTCCCATCAGTGCTGGTTTAGATACTGGTTTTTGTGAGTGGGTTTGTTTTTGAAACAAGGTGGAGCCGGGGAGATGGCTCAGTGGAATAAGCGCTTCCCTGGCAAGCACAAGGGCCTGAGTTCAATGCCCGGTTCCGCAAAAGAAAGGAAAGGAAAGGAAAGGAAAGGAAAGGAAAGGAAAGGAAAGGAAAGGAAAGAAGGAAGGAAGGAAGGAAGGAAAGAATGGCAGTGTTATTAGGCTGGCTTTGAACTTGCTATGTAACCCCATAACCCCAGCTGGCCTGAATCTCATGGTGAGTCTCCTGCCTCAGCCTCCCTAGTACTGGTACTACAGGTGTGTGCCACCATGCCCAGCCCCATAGTTTATTAAAATGTGTTTTTTGTTTTTTTTTAAATGTGTGTGTGTGTGTGGCCAGCTCAGCCCACCAGGGGGCGGACGGGCTGGCATGTGGTGCTGGGGATTGAACCACGGTCCCTGTGCTTTGCTTAGCTTAGCTTGTTCTAAGTAGGTGCTTTAGACCACTGAGCCATCTCACCAGCCCCTAAAATGTGGTTTTTAGGGCTGGCCAGATAGCTCAATGAACTAAAGCGGCTACTTAGGCATAATGCAGCAGCTGGGTTCGATCCTGGGAGTGCCGCGCAGGCCCCGCCCCCAGGACCCGCTGAGACTTCCATTGAGACTGGGCGTGGCGCTGGCACAGCCTGTAATCCCAGTGCTTAGGAGGCTGCAAACAGGAGAAGCACTACAAGCCCGATCTGTGTACTGAGACCCTGTAGACTCTGGCCTAAATACATAAATAAAATGTGGTTTTTCAAAATAAAGTATGGGGGCCATCAAGATAGCGCAGTGGACTAAGCACCTACCTAGGCAAGAGCAGGGACCAGGGTTCCATCCCTGGCACCACATGCCATGCAAGCCCCGCCTTGGTGTGCTGAGCCGGCCACTGAGCCTGGACATGGTGGCACATGCCTGTAATCCCAGAGGTGGGGAGGCTGAAAACAGGAGGATCATTAGCAGTCCAAGCTGCATAGTGAGACCCTCTACCAAATATCAATAAATAAAAATATATACATCTTTAAATGAAGTGTGGCTTCTTTTTCTGGGAAACACCAAATGGCGGATGACGCTGGTGCAGCGGGAGGGGCCGGAGGTCCCGGGGGGCCCAGGCATGGGAGGCCGCGGAGGCTTTCGCGGAGGCTTCCGCAGTGGGGTTCCAGGTCGCAGGCGCGGCAGAGGCCGGGGCCGGGGCGAGGCCGAGGACAAAGAGTGGATTCCTGTCACCAAGCTGGGCCACCTGGTCAAAGACATGAAGATCAAGTCCCTGGAGGAAATTTACCTTTTTTCCTTACTCATCAAGGAGTCCGAGATTATTGACTTCTTCCCGGGCACATCCCTCAAGGATGAAGTTCTGAAGATCATGCCTGTGCAGAAGCAAACTCGTGCTGGCCAGTGGACCAGGTTCAAGGCATTTGTCGCCACTGGGGACTACAACGGTCATGTTGGCCTGGGTGTAAAGTGTTCCAAGGAAGTAGCCACTGCCATTCGTGGGGCCATTAACCTGGCCAAGCTCTCCATTGTCCCGGTGAGGAGAGGCTACTGGGGAAACAAGATCGGCAAGCCCCACACTGTTCCTTGCAAGGTGACAGCCGCTGTGGCTCTGTGTTGGTGCGTCTGATCCCTGCCCCCAGAGACACTGGCACTGTCTCAGCCCTGTGCCCAAGCTGCTGCTGGCTGGTATTGATGACTGGCACACCTCTGCTAGGGGCTGCACTGCTACTTTGGGCAACTTTGCTAAGGCCACCTTTGATGCCATCTCCAAGACCTCCAGCTGTCTGACCCCTGACCTCTGGAAAGAGACTGTGCTCACCAACTCTCCCAATCAGGAATTCACCGACCATCTCGTGAAAACCCACACCAGAGTCTGTGTCCAGAGGACTCACGCTCCAGCAGTAGCTACAACATAAAGGGTTTTTACGCAAAAATAAAATGAATTAAGTCTATAAAAAAAATAAAATAGGGGCTGGTGAGATGGCTCAGTGGTCTAAAGCACCTACTTAGAACAAGCTAATCTAAGCAAAGCACAAGGACTGCGGTTCAATTCCCCAGCACCACATGCCAGCCAGCCCCACCCCCTGGTGGGCTGAGCTGGCCACACACACACTAAAATAAATAAATAAATAAACAAATAAAATTTAAAAATAAATAAATAAAATAAAATAAAATAAAATGAAGTATGTACCATAGTTAACCCAGTTTCTAATTTAAGTGCATTTACAGAGATGTCCAACCATTCTGATAATCCGGTTTTAGAGCATGTTTTGTGGAGGTCTTCATCCTTGTC